ACAACTTTGTGCCATGATGACTTGGACTTAGTGCTTGTCAAGGCAATCCGTGTGTGTCAAGTCCCAGGAGAACACAAGCTGAAGGCGAGATCGATTGAGAGGTCCGAACGGAGGTGCAATCGAGCAATTGACCTGATTGGAATTGAACCAGGGTCGCTTGACACCTGGGATTGCTCAAGTCGTTATCTCACCTTTCTCAATCACAAAGCGCATTTCGGCCTTCTCTCACTGGATGTCAATAGCAAACTCCGAGGATCCTTGTTCTTGTCGCGGAACGAGAATCGACAAGAGGCAGGTTCGTCTTAGCGAAACAACCGCGGAACCAAAAACAGATACAGATTGCGGCACAGAACATGATCTTGTCTCCGCCAACACGAGAGACAAAGCGGAAGCCGCTCAGACTCGGCTGGCCAAGAGTGTTGCCACCAAAGCCAAGAAACACAGGCAAGCGTGCGGCTCGGTCAGACGAATCAAGGCATTTGCAATTACGCCTGAGGCGATAGTCAACTCCCGGAGACGCTGGGGATGGGATGGTGTGCTGGTGTCGCTTCGACGGTAGCTCTTCTGGCCATGGGCCGGTCAGACCATTCGGAGAAGAGGCAATTATCATCCTCGGCCAGGCCCCCGGAGACGTGATTCAAAGACGAGCAAGGGATTGGAAATTAGCCATGGAGAACACAGCGAGGGGCCGACCTGTAGGAACCACGGCCAGTAGTCCCGGGTGTGGCAAATCGAACCAGCCAAGTATAGATCGAGCCAAGTGATAACGAAGTAGGTTAGGGTTAGAGATGTGACTTGGACGGACCGCAGTTGGTTCCATCGACGGAGCGTCTACTAACGACGCGGCGAGCAAATTGGGTGTTTTGGTTGTCTGGGCAAGATGTCAAAACATGCAGTGGCTCATTAAACGCCGGCAGGGAAAAAACAATAACAAACTCGACAGCAACTTGAGCCCCGGGTTGCTATTCGTGTGGTCCGGGGGCGTTCGCGAGATGTCGGTCACGCTGCATGAGCATGCAACGCACAGAACGTCTGGTTGCAGCACAGTAGATTCTCTGTATCATGCAAGGGCAAGAAGCATGGCTGCGGGACGGGCGAGATGAGAACGTTAAGCTGGGAATAGTGTGGGCGATCTCCAGATCATGGTCAGTGGTGGAAATTAACTCCGGGTATGGCCTTCCGAGCAGCTCCAAATCAAGGAGTCCTGAGCGGCTAAGAAAAACTTGACTGACGAACAAGCGTCGATTGTAGTCTTTGATCCTGGAAACCGGGCTTGAGATGGCTTGGGAGGCTTGCGGAAGATCCAACGTCTGAGCTGTTCACTGACGGCTTGAGGTGGGATGAGTCGAATTGGGACAGTGGAGGTGCTTGGGGTGTGCCAAAGGGGAAATGGGTTATGGGGGTGATGCGAAATTGGACGGCGAGAAAAGAAACTCGCCCGACAAAGTTTCGACCCGTTCGTCCAGCGGTTGCACGGTATCGCGTGCTCTTGTCGATGCTGACTGCGAGATGCGATCCAGTATCAGGCACTTTCATGGGCCTATCTGCCAAGCCTGTCTCTCAGGCCTTCTCCAGACGGGGTGTTCCAGGATCAGTCTATCAAAACACCTGGGCCAAGCATCATCCTGAATGGCCCTGCCTTGGCAGGATTCTTTTTGCTAGCTTGTCCTTCCATCTCCCCAGTAGACGAAGCTCACGGGAAGTCCATGCTAACCACGTATTGTCTGTTGGTCAAGGCTAGCGCGCCGCCTCGTGGCATTGGACAGGTTAGCTATCGCGGATTTCTGGATACAGAAGGACGGTCGAAAGCTTGACAGCAACCAGCAAAGACCTAGCAGGCTACCCCTGGCCATTGAATCTCTCTGATGTGGGCGAGAATCGAGATGGAGAAGCTGGCTGGGGTCCGAAATCAGTAGGCATGGGTTTGCTGTCTGTCCTGGAGGCGAAAAGGCGGTAGAACAAAGAATCATCTTGATGAGGTCGTGGGTCGCCGATCCCACTGGGACATTCGTCGGGGAGTCATGACTCGATAGGGAAGGCTTGATGGAGAAGATACGAGAAACTGAACCACAGACAAGCTCCCCTGATAGCTGGTACGCGCTGTGACTCGCTGGCTCGGAGCTTGAAATGGCATGGGCTCAAGCTCCGATCTGGTCTCGACTGGACGTCAGGGCCGGAAATGATGTTGTGGGATGATAAGGCTGCGGGGGTTATAGGTGCTCATGCCGCTGTTGTCGGAACTAGAAGTCGGGTTTGGTGCCTCTGGGGCAAACCTGGTGGATAAGGGGGAAATTATGGAGGGGACATGTGTGTAGCAAACCACCAAGGGACGCTTGATGCCTTATCACCGAACGTCTGGGGTACGTATGGAAGAGCCGTATCTGTTGCTGGAGTCCGACTTTGAGAGTTGACTCGAGCGCAAAAGGCCCCGACAAGGGGCTCGAGGGGTTTCCAGGGTCGTCTCCAGAGAGATGCTGGCACCCACGAGACATCCAGATGCAACCATGGAATCTCTCTCGGTCAGACCAGGGGACAGAAACAGCCGAGAAGCCCTGAGAAGGGAGAGTCAGAGAACAGCACAGGGCATTAGCGAGTCGCAAACCGTCCACCAAGACTGGATCAACCCTCTAACAACTGCAACATGGCGACCAGCCGAGGACAAATTACCGTTACCGGCTGTTTGGAGAGCGGCAGCATCTCCATTTTGGAAGGAGACTCGTCAGCTAAGGGCGGCGCTGCTCATCTGGGGCTAGGGGCGGAACAGCCAATGAAGTGACCAAGCAAATCGAGAAGCGCCGACACATCGTCTGGTCGTGGACCAAGCGGCGGGCCAATAGTCTTGGTCTGGATGATCCCTTTCTGATGAAGCAATTCGCCGCTTTAACCGGTCTTCGGTGTGGCGCCCTGGTCGTGGGAGTGTTGGATTTCGATGGAATTTTCCCTCGTTTCTCTGGTCACCTTCCCTATTCCGCTTCCGCTCCTCTGGTTTGGAGTCCACACTGATAGCCTTCCCTTTCCAAGGTATTTCTCCTTCCCCTATCCCCTGCTTGAGGCGTGTGTGACTGTGGATAATCGCCGTGGAGAGCCGAGGCTGCAGAGTGCTGGCCAGTCAGAACAGAGGCAAAGAAGCAGCGAGAGGTGGAGAGACAATTGCCGGCCGGTGTGTCCAGGGCCTGTAGAATTCCCCAGGTACCTTTTTTGCCTCACTGGGCTGGGCCTTTGCTTCGCTGCCAGACTTTGGAAGACCTGCACTAGCTAGACAAGGGTCCAAGGTGGTAGCCCGCAAACCCAAGGCGAGAGTGTGTGTCGTGGTATGACTGGTTCGCGCTGCTGGCCGCCAGGTCGTACAAGCCTTCTGTGGCGGACAGGATGAGCCCTAGCGACCTGTGGCGATTGTTTCTGGGGTTTTCGGTTCAGCTCAGATGGTATCAGAGGATCATGGAGGCTCCAGATATCAGCTGGCTGAGTGCTCCAATACAGTCAGATTCAGCACAGCACAGAGCAGCACAAAGGGAGGTGAGCCAATGGAATCATCCACCAAGAGATGGATGCAAAAGGCGGGAAGGGTCTTGTTCCTGCATTAGTGCAATATTTATGCCAGGGCGGGATGGAATTGGCAGTTGTGCAGGTGGGATGGAGGGAAAGGGAAAGGGAAAGCGCTAAAAGCTCAGGACGGCGGATGTCGCTCACACCCGCCCAGTGAGCGGAAGGAGATGGGATCGTCCACGACACGCAATCTCAGACGGCAGAAATAGAAGTGATATCGAGCCGAAGATCAATCTGTTGGTTGATGCCCTCCTGTGAATATTTCCGAGCTCACCATATCAGTATTGATCGACATATCAAATGAAACCAGAAATAGCAAAATCCTACGTAACCAAATCCAGAACCCAATAGCACCACGTTCAGTAGCAATGCCATTATCATGGTGGCACTATCAACCACTAATCTACCATGGCGTGGGATGCATGAACGACTCTGATGGCTGATGTTAGGCAGTCAGCAAGATACCTGTATGGCCTTATCAATCAAGCCGTGTTAGCATGTACTCTTTATCTAAGCCTTAGCAAGGTCCGCGTCGGGCCCTCCGGCCACATATTGGTCTGCACCTCGCAGCATCTGATGAACATCCTGGATCAGTGCCACTCGTCTAAACGGAGATGTTTCCCGTGAAGCGAAGGATAGAGACCATGATGATGTGCTGCTTTTCTCGTACCGTATGGGGGGCATAATTTCGTTTCCAGGTGAGGGCTCGCTGTGCATGCCCAGTTCTATGTCTGCATTGTTATCCATCCCGTTCTAGCACCGACCCATGCTTAAACCGTGCCATGCATCTCCTCATTTGATTTCTTTTTTAGTTCTTGTGTGTGTTTTCTTAGGCTGGTCCGTCTCGGTCATCACTCTCGTCAGGGAACGAGACAATAGCCGGGATTAAGCCTCTCTCCACCCAAGAAGCATCACCAGGCACAGAGAAGCTCCCCACATCGACACCCCCTTTCCCCTTTCTCCATTGCTCGCTGTCGGCCGCGCACGCCCCCTGCTCTGTTCTGCGGTCCCGGCCCCTGGATCCCCCGTCATGTCGGCGCCGCTGATTTGACCCATGCTGAAATAACATGGCTCTGGAAAAAGAAGCCGCCCAGGATCCACGCCGAGTGGTGTGGCTACCCTCTTTCCCAGACGACAGGGTCCCCTGTTCACTTCAATTTGCGTTGCAGTCATTGGGAGAAGCGTCCATCTCCCGCTCCTCTGATGACCTCCTCCAAGAGCCTTTGGCCCTCGCATCTCCACTCGATGCTCCGTTGTACAGAGAAGGTTCTCTATCAAGCATCCACCCATGGTTGAATGAATGAATGAGTTGTCTCCACCCCTCCACCACGATGCACCCCCCGTCGCTATCCCATCAACGGCCATCCCTATCCTCTTTGCAGGTCGTCCGTTCGGTATAAAGCTCGAGTCCTCCAGACCTCATGAGTTTCTTTCTTTCTTCCTCACCCACTCACACATTCGCTACAATACCCTGACTTTTAGTCAAGTACATTCGTTCCAGCAACCCTCCAAACCTCTAAACAACCTACCTACAACTTTCGAGTTACATTAATATCTCCAACCTCAGTCAAAATGAAGTTCGCTGCTGCTCTCGCTTTCGCCGCCGGTGTCTCTGCCTACGCCAAGGGCAACGTCACCTACACCACCGAGGTCGTCACTGCCTACACCACCTACTGCCCCGGCCCCACTGAGATCACCCACGGTGGCAAGACCTACACCATCACTGAGGCCACCACCCTGACCATCACTGACTGCCCTTGCACCATCACCAAGCCCGTCATCACCACCTCCGCTGTCGTCTGCCACGACTGGTAAGTTCCCCAGATTCACGAGCTGCAAAGCATCATCACTAACATGCCTCAGCCCTGCTCCTCCCCCTGCCAAGGGCGGCAACTCCACATTCGTCCCCGTTGTCCCCACTGGCACCGCTCCCGTCAAGCCTGGCAACCCCGAGGGCCCTGCTGCCACTCCCACCGGTGGTGCCCCCTCCGAGGTCCCCACTGCCGGCGCCGGCAAGGTCGCTGCTCTCTCCGGAGCTGGCCTCGCTGCCGTCGTCGGTCTCGCTGCCTTCCTGTAAATCAGCAACTAGCGCGTCTCGTCGACCACGTCCTACCTACGATTTCTTTATTTCGGTAATACCTAATTCGCGTGGGAGCCTGTGGGAGAGTTAGTGTTGGTTTCTTTTCAAAGGGGATGCAAGCGATTTTCAGGGAATGTATAGACTTTTTGGACACGAACATACGAACGGAGAACCGGTATACTTCTGCACAGCTCTATGGAGTCTTTGTCTAATGATGGCCACGCTTTGCAGGGGTGAGACATTCTTGTACATGAGCTTTGTCTCGGCGTCCGGAAGGAACTCGCATACACCCTGTGTGAGGTCTCTTTCGAGGCTGGGAATATAATGTGTTTATTTGCCTTTGGAGCAACAATGGGACGATTGTGCCTTGGATAGCCCGCGGGTCGTTCTCAATTCTGCTCCTGATCAGAAATTCAAGAGACGCATTACCTACCTCGAATCACCTCGCACCCGATCCCGTTTTCCTATTCTTGCGATATACTTTTGGGAAACTCTCGAACACCTCTAGCCTTCCGTCGAGGTGGTCGAGCACTATCCCCTACAGCTGGGCGTGTTTATGGACTCTTGACAGGTACTTTCAATGTTGTCAGCCTGGGGAAATCTTGTATTATAGCTCAGGCAAAGCAATCATTGCTAAGAGTCCAGTTTTGGCTCGGCAAACTTCATATCTTCCATCTTAAACGTGAACTTTGACATTTATGGTGCTGATGTCTTGGACACAGCTGGCATGTGGTTGTCAAAACAAAGGGGGCTTTGTTTGTTTGCATTCTTCGGAGTATCGCCCCGGTCACCCATTGTTGACTTGCACGCGACCATTATAGCCCGGGGTTGTTTTAAGAATCTCACCAACGATCCAGTCTCGTCAACCAGCGTGTGGAATGCTTGGCCATGTGCCCAACTGTGCATGACTCTATCCTGGGCGCTTGCTGGTCCAGGTCACAATGCATACCACATTTGTTATCACCTCTCTTGCCCACGTCACACCGGGGTGCGTGCCACGAAGCGCGCATGAGCTGGCTAGTCCTTGATTTCCCAGAATATCGCCGACTTAGTGAAGTTGCAGGATCAGACAGCTTGGGCGCCGTTGCCAGCGCCGCCAGCGACCGAGCGATGCACCACTTCCCAAGCGGTAAAAAGAGGCGCGAACGGCCAAATCGTGGCGGCCACGGGCGGCGTCGGAGGCGTCGAGACAGTGGATGCTGCTAAGCGAAATTGCGGTGTCATCTCTTCCATATCAAAACACCAGGGTTCTTTCTGCTTGCTGTCCAAGAGCTTGCGCTCAGGCCTGGTGGAGCAGCGAGTTCCGAAGCTGGTTAGGTTCACCGGCAAAAGAGCTGCTGTGCCGTCTCCGATATTCATGGTTGTTGGTCATCATCTTTGTCGAGATAGGACACGGCAGAGCGATATCGGGATATTAAGAGAAGCTACGGTGAGTCGTGTCTTGGTAGGTCTGGAGGCGGGGAGATAAGGGTTGTTGGTTCAGCCCATGTTTGTCTGGGCTGATAGCACCTGAGAGAAAATAGGTAGGCTCTCAAACCTGAAGAGCTGGAAATACAAGCTGTAGCAACATTAAGCGTTTGAAGATATATCACTCCCAACTAAACCAGACATATGTACTGACTGGGAAATATAGAACGGATAAACCACCCCCATAAATCAGCACAGTCATAAACAACCTATTTGAGGACAGATATAAGGCGGCTGGTTTATGGGGAGCTTGGGAGATATCCTACCCTGGAGGATTGTCGCCATACTTTTTTTCCTTTGCCAAGTCCCTCTCCCATTCTCATACTTCACCTCCGGGGATGCAACATTCATGCTTTGAAGTCGATCGGCCAATTGCTTGATATTGTGATTGGAAGTTCCTGGACCTACCATGCAGCTCATCCATTCCTCCATGCCACGAGGACCGAGGCACTCGCGAGTGCGTCGGTAACCAATTGCATCAGTTGCATGGTGGCTTTGCCGCGGAATTTAAGTTCAACCGCAGACAAGCCATAGTTGAGTGCCGACAACATGCTCGAGTTGGATGCACAAGGACAACCCAAAACGTCTCCGGTTCCATCCGGTCTGAAAACACTCGAGTGGTGTGATTTTCTGCCTCACTCGCAACGATATCCTCACAGAGTTGCAAGCAGTCACGGTAGTGTCGTCGTCGCACGGCCGGAAGGGGGGAAGACCCGTCCGGGGTGGTTCGGTAGTTGGGCCGACGCACGTCCGCGTTCGCATCAAGAACAACGTGTGAAAGGCAATGCCTGTTTATCGTCAATGGATATCCTAAGAATAATAGACGACCACTCTACGATTTGGATTACCCATCAATGGTAAGATGCCAATTTGTCGGGTACGCTAACTACAGCAAGTGCAATTGAACGCCGAACACCCGGAATATCCCCGTTGACGCCTGGCACGGGCCTGGTTCATCAATGAGCGAGCCTCATTTATCATTGACAAAAAACTAAGGAGCTCCGCGCATGGTCTCGGGCTGGACCCCGAACCGACGGTCATCGGTAAAGCTTACCGGACAAAGGGGAAGTTGAAGTTGGTCCCAATGTGGAATGCGGGGGAGGTAGCGCCTTCCCCGGGTTACCAGAGCTCCAGCTGCCAGTGGGCACGGAGAGCGGAAGGTGCAGTCGAGGCGCCGCGAACAGATAGCTTGGAGACACGAGGCAGGAGCATTGGGCGTAAGCCGTCACTTCAACAACTCAACCTAGTAGTAGCTTCCACCCGCAATTAAGCCCTGATTACCTTACAGACGCTCCGAGAAACCGGACAAAGCTCCACACATCCATGCCGACGACTTTCCCCGGATCTACTCCTTCTCCCTTTAACTCTGACATTGACACCTTCGTCAGACGGCACCATAGCCGAGGATATTCTTCACTAGGCATAGCCGTCTACAGCTTGTCAAAGGGACTTCAACGGACGCTTCTCAAGCAATCTGATGCCGTTGAACTTCAGACAGGCTCTTCAAGAAGTTGTCACACTCGTCCGCCCTCGTAGAGCTTCGGTTTCCCTCCCCGTCTCTTGTTCTCGCCGTCCTGCATTGCCATCGTTGCTGCCACAGATACAGCCTTTACCGTGTGCAAAGACACGAAGATATTCATTCCATACCCAGAAAGAGACGCAGCAAGCAAACCAGAGCCCAGGAGAGAAACCAGCCATGGCCGACGATCACGACTACCATATCCAGGACGAGGTGCTCCAGCACTCTCTTACAAACCGAGAAGACTTTTGGCGCCATCAGGCCGAACACCTCCACTGGCACAAACCATTCTCTGCTACCATTCGGCTGACCAAGAAGACCCTCAAGAGCGGTGTTACGCATGACAGCTGGGAGTGGTTCCCAGACGGCGAGATCTCCACCTGCTACAACTGTGTTGATCGTCATGTTCTCGATGGCCATGGTGAATCTGTCGCCGTCTACTTCGACAGCCCCGTCACCAACACGAGGGAAACATACACCTATCGTCAACTGCTTCATGAAGTTGAGACTCTCGCTGGTGTCCTCAGAGAGCAGGGGGTCGAGAAGGGCGATGTTGTTATGCTCTACAGTAAGTAGATCCACTAAACCTTGACTTACACGCGAAACACAACCTAACCCCATGAATAGTGCCCATGATTCCCGCCGCAGTGATAGGCATCCTTGCCATTAACCGACTTGGTGCCATCCATTCGATCGTCTTTGGTGGCTTTGCACCCAATGCCCTGGCGCAACGCATTGATGCTTGCCACCCTGTCTTGATCTTGACAGCCTCTTGCGGAATCGACGGCAACAAGCCCCCAATTGCTTATCAACCCCTGGTCGAGGAGGCCATTGGCCTGTCAACCCACAAAACCGGCAAGGTCCTCATCTGGCAACGAGACCAACTCAAATGGAATGTCAACCGCAGAGCGGGTCAGCTCAACTGGCAGAGTCTCGTCGGCAGTGCTCACTCTCGTGGAGTGAAGGCGGCTTGTGTGCCTGTCCCAAGTTCCTCACCTGTCTACATCATTCACACTTCTGGCACTACTGGCACTCCCAAGGGAGTGTTGCGAGATGCTGGCGGCCATGCTGTTGGTCTGCACCTGTCCATCAGCTATCTATTCAACATTCACGGCCCTGGATGCGTGTCCTTCACGGCTTCAGACATCGGCTGGATCGTTGGCCACTCCTACATCGTGTATGGTCCTCTCCTGACTGGTGCCGCAACTGTCCTATACGAGGGTAAGCCCGTTGGAACCCCTGATGCATCTGCGTTTTGGGATATTATCAGCCGGTACAAAGTTACCACTCTATTCACTGCGCCTACCGCCCTCCGTGCCATCAAGCGTGAGGACCCCGAGAACCACTTCTTCATTGAGTATGGAAAGCGAGGAGGCCTCAAGACTCTCAAGGGTCTTTTCCTTGCTGGCGAGCGTTCTGAGCCTACATTGATCGAGATGTATCAAGAGCTCATGACCAAGTACTGCGCGTACAACGCTCATGTAATCGACAACTGGTGGTCAACTGAGGTCGGCTCCCCCATCACCGGGCGTGCGCTTGTTCCTCATGCTGGCAAGCACAGAAAGACGGACGTCCGTGGACACCCCCCTCCTCAATTGAAGGCAGGTAGTGCCGGCAAGGCTATGCCGGGCTTTGACGTTCGCATTGTCGATGACGAGGGTGTTGAGGTGGAAAGAGGGTGCATGGGCAACATTGTCCTGGCAATGCCCCTGGCTCCCACAGGTTTCCGAACTCTTTGGAAGGACGAAGAGCGCTTCTGGAAGGGTTACCTGAAGAGGTTCGAGGGCAAGTGGCTTGATACTGGTGACTCTGGCTGGATCGACCAGCAGGGTTATATCCATGTCATGGCTCGAAATGATGACGTTCTGAATGTCAGCGCACATCGTCTGTCTAGTGGTGAGTACTGTTCTGTTTTGGTCAAGACTTGAGCTCACAATTTTTTAGGCTCTATCGAGCAAGCTATTGCTTCTCACCCCCTAGTTGCTGAGGCATGTGTTGTTGGCATTCCTGACTCCCTCAAGGGTCAACTTCCCTTTGCTTTTGTCACACTCTCGCTGAGGGATCACCCTGAAGATGCGGTGCCAAGCCAGGAGCTCACCAAGGAGATCCAAAAGCTTGTTCGTGGTCAGGTTGGTGCCATCGCAACACTGGGCGGTATTATCCAGGGCAAGGGCATGATTCCCAAGACACGATCGGGCAAGATACTCCGACGAGTGTTGAGAGAGATGGTGGAGAATGCTGTCCACGGCGAACTTGCCAAGGAGGTAACGGTGCCTAGCACTATCGAGGATTCGTCCACGGTAGAGGTTGCTCGTTCCAAGGTCAGCGAGTATTTCCAGAAGATGGGAGCCAAGCATGGAGAGGTGGACGGCATGATCAAGGCTCGGCTGTGAGAAACTCGAGAGTAGTTTCCGGCAGGATGAGGGAGAATGGTTCATGAATGAAGAGGGCAGTTCATGTGGAGGACATTTTCAGCCAGGTTTCCTTTGTATAGCGATTTGTTTGGAGCTGGATTGTTGTCTTCCTTTTGAATAAGTTGCAGCCTCAAGTCCTTTCTCTATAGCAATCATGCCCTACCACGTTGGCTACAACAGCTCAAACGGTTCTGTCTGCATTTGACTAGTCCCACTAATGATCGGTCAACTGGTCCCCTGCATTTTACGGATCTTTTTATTTGACGTGGTCCTGTTGATAATTGCACAGCCGTACAGCCTTGCAGGAGAGGGGTTGGTTCTCACAGCCTCGTCACGCGTTGCGTTACTCGGTATCAGTATATCGGATTAAAACAGGCAATTACTTGGTATTCGACTACCCAAGTACCATTTTTATTTGGCCTAAAAGATAAAAACAACATACCTTTGTGGACTTGCGATCTTGAGGAGATTGGGTGATTGTGTTAGGCAACCATCACCTATGCTCTCATCACCATGATGGCAAGCCCTATAACTGCTCCAAAGGAAAATGCTAATCATCCTCTTTAGGTAGCGTATCAGCTCGTCGTCCAACAATATGTTCGATTTGTGAGGCATATACGTCTGATCCCGCACCCGGAAAGGCTGAGGAGAGGGGGTTGGTCAACACGATCACGACAAACTCCATGAAGCGATTGAGACACCCAGCCTTGCACATACGACCATACCCACTGGAGAACTCGGGATCCCGTCCGCTCTCCCATAGATAAGCCAGTGAGGGGCGGGTTAGTAGTTGGGTCGGTGACGACCAGCGAATCCCCGCTGTTGTATGTTTTTTTGCAGTTTGATGCGACTATCTTTTTGCCCTCCAAGGTTATTGGAAATATCTCGACGTGTTAGCTGCACTACAAGTCCTCCCAGTAGCCTGTAGACATAGACAAGCAACAGGGAAAGGCGGTGGGCTAGTTCAAATACCTTTGTTGAGCTTCAGATATACCCCTTGACCTCCTGGGAACCTCCGATCAAACTGGCTCGTGATATTTAGGTAGCTTTTTGCGCGAGAGTGTCCCTGGTATCCTTCTCAAGCTAAGCCACTCACTGAGAGGTCACTATCGTCTTTGAAATACTGTCGTGCTTCTCCATCGAGGCTTACCTCCAATCTGATATTGCGGGACGAGATATACTCGCAGCATGTGGTCGATGCGTAACTCACCCACAGGTTCCTCACCGACTTGATTTCGTTTGTGCCGTTTGACCTGAAGGAAGGAAATAACACCAATATCTATGTTGACGCAGGATTGGGTTGGAAGGGGTAGAAGGACGCTAAGCTGAAGCGGCACGACGATGACTGGGCTGAAGCAGTTGTTGGGATAGATGATAGTTTCTGTTAGACGTCTCTTCTTGAGAAACTGAGAGTTAACAACAGCAACTTGAATTCAAAACAACCACCCTTATCCATAGTCTCATGAAAATATGCAAGCCTCCAATGATCTATGCAGTAACCGACAAACTCCAAGTGTTCATGTTTCGTTTCATGCAAAAGAACCTCCATGCACCATCCACATCCAAATGCAATGCCGTTCATAATATCAATGTTACCACCCCATATCGTTAGCAAGCCAACCCCTCCAACTCCTCTAAGCGTAAACATTTCGTATGCCTTGCGGGCACCCTCTTCGTTGACATATCATCATTCCTTGGACGACTGTCCAGTTGGTTGCTTTGCAAACATCCCGGAGACACTCCCCTGTGCTTTGGCCGCAACCTTCATATTTGAGAAACGCGCCTCGGGTAATCGTTTTCCTGCCTTGAGGCTTTCAAGGACCCTACAGATAAGTAAGCAAGCGTGAAGTAAAAAGGGGGTTGCGAGAGGTTTACCACTCAGCACCGACAAACTTGACTCCGCAGCCACCAACCTTGCGAATCTCCTTTTCCAGTTTACCCCCCGCGAGCCCTCCTCCAGCACCAGCGATTCCTCCAGCTGGTTTTCCTACTATGACGTGGGTTACTCGTCGTCTGCCGAGGTGTAGTGACATTTGACCGCCGTGTTCGGTGAGGAGGTGCTTCAGCTTGTGGTCCGAGATGAGAGGAAACGTGCTTCCGTTGACGTAAACGACGACTCCGTCAAAGATACGTCTCTCTTCTTTCTTTGTTTCATCTTCTTGTTTTCTCTTCTCCATCAAGGCCTCCTCACCTGTAAGACCTCCCTCGACCTCTTCCTCCCCAGTCAAACTCTCCTTCATCTTTCCCGATTGAACAAGCATGTCTCTCACACTCCTTTGAGCTCTCTCCTTCGCAGCCTTGGGAACAATCGCCTTGCGCTTCTCATCATAGTCCTCGGCACCGGCACCCCACGTGTCACTCATCCGCTCCCCTCCAGCTGAACCGCCACGAAACTGGTTGTTGAGCTTCCGGTTCCGAGACTCACGCCAGCCTGTACCGGGGTTGTTCTCCGGACGTTGGTGACCGGTTGACGAAGAGCTCCACGGATCGAACGAGGCACCGTGAAGAGGCTCTGCGGCCTTGGGAAAGTGTTTCTTTTGCGGCATGACGGAGAAAACTGACGAGCCTTGGTGATGCAGCTGGATGATCACTCGAGCGCGGCGGTGTTTCTGCGTAGACGTAGACGTGTCATGTGTGTTTTTTTCGATTTAGTGAGACTCAATTCACGCTACATTTTGTCATTCTTTGTCGTCATGACCCGCGTTGGCGCGTGCGAGTGACATTGACCACGTCTGATGGGTTGATTGCCCCTCCAACCTCGGACGCGAAGTCACATGAGGAGCTTATTTCGCGTGGAATGCAATAGGAGATGCTTCACTTCACTCACTCACTAACCCACTCATTCATGAATCGTTATCAACTTCATCATTACACGCCCAGATTCAACACACACCTCTTCTCTAGCTTGATGACTATAAATTTTTTAAAGGGGTATCTCACCCTGAATGAAATATCTCGTCATGGTTCATGGCTCAAACTCTGTCCTACCTCCATGTCCATAGGGTAAGCCAATCCTCTCTCATATCGGTTGGAGGCCTTGAAAGCCAACGCTTAGATGAGCCCCCCCCGAAACTCACTCATGACTGGTCTCAGACCACTCACAGCTCATAACTGGCAAATCGCACCATCAAGCGGGAAATGGCTCAGCTTCTCAAGATACAGCCACATTCGAGTCTATGAGAATCACCAACAGCCAACCAATTCAATTGATCAACTTGGTCTGTGTCACCGTAGTCAGTTCCAAGCGAGATCTCTCACATACCAAATCTCCCCCCCTCCCCCTTCCCCCCAATTGCATCGCTCATCTCTCCACTTTGTCGCTCAGATGCATGCAATCCAATGCAAAGCTGCAATCGTGATGTGCATCATTCAAGCTGCGCAGCGCAGGGCTGACATACCTGCCTGGCCTGGCCTTTACCTACCTTGACTTGCTTTGCCTGCTTGCTTGTTTGATCTTCTCACGCGCAGATACCTCGCCGCCGCCGCCGCCGCACCACGCGGCCATGTAGAACATGGCATGCCATCCATCAGTCACTCCCCCAGGTATAGCATTGGCATGGGCATGACATGGCATGGCATAGGCATGGCGCGGCGCGGCAGAGTATACATAGCATGGCATCGCATGCATCATCTCCAGGTCCTCTAGCTTGTCTCACTGCTGCGGGCGTTGCCGCGTCCATGCTAAGCTATGCTTGCTGCCATCATCGACCTCAGCTGTCTCCTGATGAAGCCAAGATTGCTTCAAGTCTTTGAGCCCAAGAACGCCCGGGCCGTCAAGAGGTTTGGATCCCTGCATTGGAATCTCTACTGGCATGGATCCTCCAATCCAATGCCCGTCTCGCATCTGCCCATCATGGTTCACGCAACACACGGGGTCCCTGAGCTCAATGCCAGTCTCAGTCACCAACAACCAACCTCCAAGACTCGAACAAGCAAGCAAACAAGCAACCAAGCAAGCGATGCAGTGAGTCTGACAGATGATGGATGGTGTTCCCCTGTAGCCTGTCAAGGCCCGTCCCTCGCGTCCCTTCCCTTCCCTTCCCTTCCTCCCTCTCACAACCACCACCATTACCACCACCACCCGGCGGCCCGTGTCTGTCAGTCAGCTCAAGATGGACAACTTCCGTTCATGATCCCGGGGCGATCCCTCTTCTCTCCCCCTTCATCCTCGCCATATCTTGCCCCCAACCCCTCACTCATCGTCAAAGTTGAAGACTCCCGGGAATCATCAGCCAGCCTTCGATCGCCGACCCCGAGCCGAGCGCTCAACACGACCCTTCCCGGTCGATCGTCCCCTTGGAACCCCCTCTCTTGTACTTGGCCCCCAGCCTCGACCGTGGTCCCTAGTTCTGCCATTGCTATGTTTTCGCCCATCGTCCGACCAGGATTGCGGGAACTGACACCATCAAGGATGAGGCGTTCGCGACAGTCACCCTCTTACTGCCAAACGTCGATTGCCACCAACCCCCCAGCTCCCTCTCCCTCCCCCCAGCAGGCCAGCCAGCCAGTTGCCTTTTCCAGGCTTCCCTCCCCCTTCCTTCTCCAGGAAACCAAGCAAGCAAGCGGTTCTAGCACCACCTCTATCTGCACATATGCGGATCATACCTGCAGCCCACATCCCGTCGCTACGCCTTGTCAACCTATCGAAGCTTCCTTCTCCGGACATAAAGACGCAATTGACTGCCGTGAAGCTGTTGTGGAGTGAGACTTTGCATCGCGGGTAGCAGCATCCTTGGGCAGGGCTCAAGGGGCAACGGGAATCCCGTACATGTCTGTCCCTCCTCTTTGATACGGCCCTGGCAGATGCACACACACATGATCAGGATGCCACCGACCGGATGCTTCATCAAACGCCCCCTTCCAACTCCATCTCACCAGCCCAGCCCAGCCCAACGCCTGGCCCCGTCCATCTCTTCACGCCCCCAATAACTACCCTGGTGGGGACCGGGATCTCGTCCAGAAAAATGTCAGCAGATATGTCCTGAGTCCTCGATTGTCTCTGCCTGTCCCCCCAGAGTCTGGGCATGTGTCTCGAGCAGATAGGTCGTATGGCCGCCCAGGGAGCCTCTCCCCATCCCATCAGTGTCGTAGTAGCCAGCCATGTATGTACATATCCGCACATAACCACGGTTGTCCTGCATGCACGCACGCAAGAGGGCTCCTCGTACATTAGTTGGCAGGTGGATAGCCATGTCGTCCCCCATCCATCCCTCCTACACCCCGCTGCGTGTTGCGCGGGAAGGCTAATGTAGTGGGCAAGTCAACGGTTAGATCCTCATTCACAGCCTCTTGTTTCTGTACATGCCCTCTTCTCTCCAACGGCCCTGCTGGTCTATCATGAGAGGTGGGATCATTGACTCTGAACTGCTCTCCGACTGTGATGTGGAACCTGCTTCCATGAAGCAGTAGCACCTCATCTGCCCGCCATAATCATCATGATGCGATCCTGCAATATCTCGATGAGAGCTGCCTGGGTCGCACAGTCGTCCTTTTTCGTCTCTGTTTCTTCTTTGATGCCGCCGTGGATCCTCACTAGCATGCGGAGTACATGCTACATGCTCCCTACCCGTCAAGCCCCCCCCAGCACGCTGACAGGGAGTGACGCACCCGCCGAAGGCTTTCGTTGGCTGCTTCCCTCAAGATCTGTTTCGTCGTGGCCAAGCGGGTCCACCAAGTGAGCTGGCAGGGAAGTGGTGCCGTTATCATGGCCCGCTTCCCACGCAGGGCCACCCCTGTCTAGCCATGCAAGGGGGGGGGGGGGGGGGGGGTGTTGTTCTAGGGCCGGTACCTCTCTCACACTTGGAGGTACATTCGGGTGAGAGAGTAGCGGTGAGGGCAGCACTAGGCCTCAAAGGGTTCTCATCGGGGCGCGGAAAACGGACGGTATCCTGGTGCCCTTTTCAACGTGATTCGGAAACCACTGAGGAGGAGGAGCCCGAGACCATCGTTGAGAACTCAATTTGCATGCTGCGTAGGCAGGAGAGTAGTAATTATAGAGCTGGATGCGCATGCAAGCACAGGTCAGATCTCCAAGCAGTCCCGGGCGGAGGGCAGAGCACAGGAGCGCACTAAGCGCTGCCAGATCGCATCTGGGGATGGATTGAGAAGCGCAGCGGCAGTATGTGGACAAAGCCCCGAGCTCGGGAGGCCGGGGTTATGGATGCGATGGCACCGTGGCAGGGCACTGGGCGAAATATCCCGGAGCTGTAGAGGCTGTCTGCCGTCCGTCTCTAGCAGAACTGACTCTGACTTCACCAACCAGACGCCGCACCGTGTGAGCGGCGCTCATTCCTTCGCCGCAGGGCAGGCAATCATTCCTCAGCGGACCGTTGCCCGTAGGCGGGACGCTGCTGCAACTGCTGGCCTTCCCGCCCGGCTGCCCAGTCTGCTGGGCTGGTGTCTGCATCGTGGCCGTGGGCTTCCCCGGAACTTGTACCCGCGAATGGATTCATGATTGCCCTCGCCTAGGCGGCCTGCCGCCTGCTGCTGGAATTCAAGAACCAAACCTAGTCCAAGACGCAGACAAAAATAGATAAAAGGGGGCCCTTGGCTGAGGAGCAGGGTCGAATCGAATCTGATGACCATCGACCTACTGAACCCTTCGCGCTGTTCGTTGGGGGTGGTGATGGCCGCTGGCTTGCAATGGTGGTGTGCCAAAAGACGTGGTGGACGCTCATTGGGTTGAGATCCAGTGACCGGCCCAGAGCAGAGTGCCATCACGGCTCCCTAATCAGCCAGCTCGAGGAACCAGACCAGACCGACCACCAGGCGATAGACAGACGTGTTGTGTTGTGTTGAGAGACGGTCGGCCCGGCGGTACGCGGCTTGCTTGCCTGGTTTGGTAGCCAGGCAATTGTTATCCTGACGGTCAATCTGAATCGATATCCTGGCCTGGAGGCGACCAGCCAGCAGCACATGGCGTGGTTGTCCATCACCATCCCGAGGCCAGAAGAAATGCCTCGGGCTGTCTTGACGTCTGCCCCGCTGCAAGACACGACCGGTGCTGATATGAGCGTGAAATCGAGTTGCATCTCGGCCGGAGTCCAAGGCCGAAAACCGAACGGCTTCCCAGTCAGGTCAGTTCAGGTCAAGTCCGGGGGGGCACTTTTGTCAGCACAGCACACAGCTCTCTGTTTCTCGGCCGCTCTTCTCACTGTGCCCATCTCGCATCTGACAGCGAAACGAACGGGTAGCCTAACGCCAGGATCCCCCACCAAGAGCTGGCTAACGGGCACCGGTGTGCTAGGAATTGGACGGCCCTAACGCCCGAGGAGGAAAATGTGGCGACTCGGCTCGTTAATTCTTGGCCATTGTCGATTCCCCCACCGTGGCCACGAGCAGAGGCAGCCCAGTCGTTGGCCGGCTTAGACGCAAAGGGCTCGCGCGCTGGCTAGTAGACGGCTGGGGGTCGCTGAAACGCCCCCCAGCCAGGGGACCCATGCTCATTCTTTCCGATCTTTCTGCAGCTTCCATTGGCCATGTTCTAGACATGCACTACATAGCCGCTGTGCAGAACATGCGAGTGCTCAAGCCAACATGATCCCCCTGCCATCCCTGCTGACCGGGAGAGAAGGCGACTGCAGGGACTGGAGCTTCTGGAGGGGAAGTTTGAATCGACCAGCAAAAGAAAGCTCATCAGCCCTTCCGGGGGCTTGCAGAAACATGGGCATGGGCATCACGGATGATGACGGAGGGTATGCATTCATCACGCCACGAGGCCATTCATACTCTTCCAAACTGACGTCCGGGTGCCGGCAGATAGAACGATTGAAGCGTTTCGTATCCGGATTGTTTGTCAGAGGGCTGAGACAGGTCGAGTCGAGCCGGGAATGTGAGACCTATCGACGGGGGGCTCACCGACAAGGCCCCTCTCTCTGAATCACCCATTCCTTGCCATCACGTGCAGGGTTTCAAGAGGTTGATGGAGAAGCCAACAATGACGATAGTATCCGGACGGGTTTCCAATCTCGTCTAAGCAGGGCCCAAACCCGGCTATTGTCTCAAGGTTTACCACCGTTGGAAGCTTTGCAGATACAATCTCCGCAAATCGTCCTTGCTAGTATTACCAGTTCCCGCTGTGTACCGTGTTTCCCAGGTTTATCTGATTGCTGGCAAATGAGGTGGCGCTGTTCAGGCAGGACCAGCTTCATCAAGCAACACAACTCCTCAACGACAACCGGCTGAGAGCTGCGCCGCGTGGCCGGTTGAGGTGATAGTCAAACAGACGAGACCCCGCAACTTGCAAGGCAGTTGTGCTCGGGAACTAAGGCACATCATTAACCAATCGACCAGGTGGCTGTGGTTCAATCAACGTTTGCGAGGTCTCAGGCCGGTTGACGGGATGTCTGAGAGATTGGCTCGCCATGGATGACAGGTGTACGAGATGAGGCTCATCCCTAAGTCCGCACTCAAGCGGGCTCATGTATGTTGCCGGAACATGGCTGAGGACGAACGTCGATACGGTAGTATGGCGCTGTCATGGGTTCCTCGGGCATCCGGCTGCTTGCTTGCGTTGAAGACTCGAGTTTGGGTTTCTCGCATCCTGGGCTGTTGCGGGCTAGCGGCTGCTAGGTAGAACAGCATGGTACGACGAGTCTAGAAAAAAGCAAAGTCTTCTCCTCTGAGTTGTTCCTTGTGTTGAGGGCTATATGTGGCAGGCGGGCATATCCGACAACAATGGGGCGAGGATCTTTGTGAGAGGAGCGAAAAGCCTCAACTTCCCGATGCGGGGCTGCTGGAATCTGTCAGTCAATCTATCATGGATATGATATGTGTCGATGAGACGGGAAGGCTGGGGCGAGTTGTTGTCATTCAATGTCTTCAGGGCTGGGTGTCTCTCGGGCTGCAATCAATCTTGTCTCAAGACACCCCATCTACGGATGGTCTGTAGATGTGGATTCTCTCTGGCCAGGCCAGGTGAGACAAGAGGCCTAGATCTAGGATAGAAAGGAGGCTTTCCTGAGAGCTCGGGTCATCTAGTGTGGCTGGACATGTGTCCTCCGTTGAAACGTGCTGGGCAACGCGGTGCAGCCAGTCGGGGGCAGCCAGCTGTCAAGCTGTCCCGACCACCAAGACCCGAGGAGCACTCCAGTTGGCCAAGCAGAGTGCCTGATCTCTGATAGCGATAATCGCC